ACAATGTCCAGAGAAGAGTGAATCCAATATTTAATACTAAAACAAATAAAACTGTAAAAATAGTGATCACAGGAACCAAATTCTGTGAGAATATAATGTTTGTCTCAATACTTACCATAAGTATTGTCCTGTGGATCGGATCCACCGATGCCTATGAGTTGACACAACCCGAACAAATACATCTCGCATATGGAGGTAACGGATGCCACTCTTTATCCTAATAATGTCAATCTAATGGTTGATTTGATTGTCAAAGTGGGACCAACTGAAATGGTGGTCACGTGGGTCACAATGGACTCGACACCGGAGACCACTGTTGAGTTCGGCCAATCGCCGACCGGACTAAACACTATCACTCAGGGATACGCCACGAGATTTACAGACGGCGGCAGTGAAAAAAGGGTTATGTATATCCATAGAGTGGTCTTAAAGGGACTCAAACCGGATGAGCAATATTGTAATAATTAATACGTTATTAGTATTATTGATTTGATTAGTATCTAACTATTGTTTAACCACTTGATTGCAAACACTAGTCTATCACTGCGGCAGTGACTCCGGCGGTTGGAGTAGTGTTTACTGGTTTAAGGCCATGAAAGAGGGCAACACATGGAGTCCACACCTGGCACTCATCGGTGATCTCGGAAATGTTAACGGAGTATCCCTTCCCTTGTAATGCCATTTAAATATTAATATTTTGTTCAATAAACTAAAATTTGTAACATTTTTTATCTCAAGTCTTCAGAAAGCGGTGGCGAAAGGGAAATACGATGCCGTCCTTCACATCGGTATTAATTGATTTTAAAATACAGCCCAAACTTCTCTTAACTTTGATATATTTTTAATTAATTATTATCGCTGTTTCTTACCTGAAGGTGATTTTGCATATGATATGGATTCGGTTAGTATTTGTCTCAAAGTTTTTTCAAACAAGTTTATAACATTTTCCACACTATATCTCAATATAATTATCTAATCTTTAGGATAACGCTCGGGTCGGCGATGAGTTTATGAGACAAATGGAACCGATCACTGCGTAAGAGTGCTTAAGACATATTAATATTCAGGCAATTAATTTTTCATACCATTAATAAATTATTAATTTTAATAAACAGTTATCTGCCATATATGACAGTTGTTGGCAACCATGAGGGCGCATAGTTAGTACCCATTTGGGTGATCCACACAAAAACTGTTACCATTAACTAATATTTGTATTATTTTGTTAGCAATTTTTCCAATTACGAGAACCGGTTCACAATGTATGACCACACGAGCCGTCAAATCAATAACCACTTCTATAGCTATAATGTCGGTCCCATTCATTTCATTGTCTTCTCATC